TATTTAATTCTTATTTTCTAACCACTATCACTTAACCATACCTAAGCCAACTAATTTTATCACCTATTATCATCTATAAGATTGATGCAACCATCAAATATAAGGTTGATGCAAACCATCAATATATCGCTTCACTTATAAGTCTGATGCACATTATTCGTATCAACGTCAACACCCATTAAATTTGTTTCTTAACATCACTAATAACCCTAGCATGCCATCGCAAATATGGTTGATGTATGGTCTTAACCCTAAAAATGAAACCGGGTATAAAAACCAATAATTTTGTGGACTTAGTTCTCTAGCCTTCTCTCCTTACAAGAGAATGACTATATAAAACACAAATAATATCTTGAAAATAGCTTCAATGTCTAAGAGTTTTTCAAATTTCAATCATGAAATCCATTCATCACAGTTTATATGTATTATATTGTACCAACACATATTTAAATTATGAGAAGATATTATTTACAGCCCATAACATGCACAAGTAAGGTGTTTTAGTTATTTAAGATTTTCATGTGAAAACTCTGTGTCACTTACAACTCTTCTTTTATTCAATCTTTATATAAAGCTAAGATAATAAACTTATTTTTCTTACCGCTGTCGCTACTCTACCCCACAACAATTATTAATATTTTATGAGAATTTAATAGAATATATTTGTAAATTTGGATGTAAGATTATGATGGATTTCGTCAAAGAATAAAATTATGCATTAAATACTCAAAAAATTTTGATTATCAACTTTTAGTTATATATGCCAGATGAGATTGACAATGTTAAGAACTCATTGTAGTATTGCTTGTATGCATAAAAAAAATATTTGCACATATTAAGAAATAGAAATATCATATCAAAGTAAAAAATCAGCAACACAAGCATTTTATTCAAATAATTTTGAAATTTTGAGAGATAACTATTATATGATTTTATTATGCTTCAAAATTCATTAGAATCCTAATGACTATGAAATGAATATTGATTGAGCTCCTTCAAAGAATTGATAGTGCTATTTTTTTTTTTTTAATTTAAAATCAAATTCACTAACTAATAGTCATAATTGACTTAAAACCTTTAGTATAGTAGTTAAATATTAGTAGTTCATATTGAAAAAATCTTATAGTAATAATGACAATCTTAAAGTTAGGGCTATTAATCAACTAATCTAAAGCTAATCCAAGTCTAAATTAAGATTCAATTAAAGTCATTATTTTTGAGTGAGATCATTCTAAGTTTGATTATATGTTATCTTAATTTGATCGTCATTTGAGTCGAGGATGATTCAATCCTTTCAATTTGAGCCAAAAAATACTCCATCCAATATACATTGAACTTATACATTGAACTACATTCATTTTCACTTGAATCTTGAGCAAGATAAATAATCATGTGATTTATTTAGGTGGAGCACCAAGTACCTTTTAAAACATAATCTAGAAATTTAAGTTATCTATATTAATTTTACATAAAAAAATTTATTAACCATATAGCCTTAACCCCAATTAATTATGATCAACCTATAGATCACACTGTTTCATTTATTCCAATTTAGTACTAAACCGACCAAATTATGAGAGTTGTTTTGCAAAACTCTTAGATATTTTTATGCTAATAATTATCCTATTTTTTATTTGTTCTATATATTAGTTTTTTTTTTTATCATTTCTCTTTAATTTTATGCACATTTCATATTGTTATACATATTATTTTTAACTAGTCATGTTCAAACCATTTAATTCTATGATGTACAATATTATAGATAACAAATGCCACTCCTATGGATACCATCTGTCTGATTTAATCATTTTATAGTACATAATACTTAATTTTATTACATATATTTTTTTTTACATTTTATTTTTCTTCCACACTTTATTATGTGATTTCTTTATTATCCAACACATAAATTCTCATGGATGTAAGAACTGGTTGGTACTTTGTTTGGTAACCATGGCGTAAGTCCCCTCGTGTCTTGGCGTGCATTTTCTGTCCGGACACCTGACGTACCTCTACGTGTGGTCCAGGTTATTCATGAGTTATTTTCAGGTTATTTCTGGTTTCTTTTCAATAATCCTGAAATAACCCAGAAATAACTCAAAAATAAAAACTGCGGGTTATTTCTGGGTTATTTTGGGATTAGTGAAATAACCCAGAATTAACCTGAAAATAACTCAGCAATACCATGCGCCGCACGTAGAGCTGCGTCAGGAATCCGCACAGAAAATTTTTTGCGTGTCTTGGGTTTGAAGCTCGCCTCGAATAACTTATTATTAACCTGGGATGGACTCCAATAATTTGCAGTCCATCTTTAAAAAAAAAAATACTCGTGGCATAAAAGGTCTACTAGAAATTCAATAAAATTTATCATATACCCTTCAAAATATTTATTTACGGCACTGTCTAATTTATCAATTTAAATAATCACTTATATTTATGACAATGATTCCTATTATAATGATGACTAAGAAATAGATGAAAATAAATGAAAAAATAATGAAGGACTTGTACTTTATATGATAAAGGCTTTTATGATATTTTTTTAAGGAATTAAGCTGGGCATTAAGCACTCATTATTGACCATTAATCTTAATTAAGGTGATTGATCTTGATTAAAATTTACAAAGTTTCAGGTAATCTGTATGTAATTGTCCCTAAAAACTATTCTTAATTTTTGCAAATATCATTTTCGTAACCTTAGAAATGGATTTTGGTGATGAAAGATTAAGGTGATTCATAATTTAGCCTTATTGTTGCTAATCACAAGTAAGAAACGGAGATTTGCACATATACCCGTCAATTTTTATTTATTTACATATCTAGCATCTAAAATTTAATCTTTATTTAAATGATACTTTACTTATGCATGAAAATGTGTTTTAATTTTTAAAATTTTAAATAATGTTTTATTGATGTTGAATGAAAGATTTGGTGGTATAGATATAAAAAGAAAGTTTTCGATGTCGGGTATTGACGTGGGGCGACCCAGAGACAATGCACTGTGACGTGCCCACACGAGGACATGGCAATTGTCGTGTATGGATTGGAGTTCAACATCTTCCTCTCGACCATGACGAGGCGTCCCTTGCTCATGATGGCTGGAATTAGTTCGCAGACGGAGAGACAACCGACCTTCCTTACATGGGATTATTGCCTATCATGTGGATTGGGATCCACTCCTATTTACCCTAGCTATATACAGGTTGATGTTGTTGTATTTTAGGTCAGTTTTCAAGTGTGGTTCTGTTGGGACGTCCCTTGTTTTCAAGGAAGAGTGGTGTTGTGGTTGTATCTCATTCTAAAGTGGTGGTTATCTTTCAAGGGTCAAGTGATGCTCTACTGTATCTCGCTTCCGATACGATATATCCTCGGCTCTCTGCCTCTACAATCCTCCCTTTATTGTTGTTGTTGTTGTTACTGTAGCTACCTAGAAACAGTTCTATGATTTGTTCTCCCTACAATTACCCACCTCCTAGCAGCTAGCCGCCTGCAATTTTGATTCTCCCTGTTCAACCATCCCAACACCTTCCTCCACCCTGTCAAACCCTTCCTCATCACTATCATTATCGGGAAAACAACAAGCCTGCTAATCTCCTGATGTACCAGCAAATCCCACAACAACTCATACCTCTGCTTGCAACCCAACTTGTTGTCCTAGTTGTGCATGTCTCCTCAAACAACACTTCTATCTCCTTCTGTTGTGTTGTCATCGTTCCTCCACAATCTCGCACCTTCTCTAATCCATTACCACCTTTTCAAACCCCAACAGCAACCACCACAACCACCTTCAATCCACTATAGTCGTATGTTATTCTTTCCTATTTCAATTGTCTGATTGTTAATTCCTATTTGATTTCAGTAATAATATTTGCTATCTCATTATTGATTGGGTTTATTCCAATATCAGGTACATAAATGCATAAGAAGTTGGGCAATCCTTCAAGCATTTAAAAAATCCTCATCAAAATAAGGTTAATGGCAAAAGATAATTTAATCTAGTATTATTGCTAATTATGAGTAAAAAATTAATATTTACATACATATCACTCAAATTTTATGCATTTACATTTCTAACACCTAAGCTGTAATTTTTACATATATGTCACCCTACTTATGCATGAAAAGGCGTATTTCATTTTTTAAAATAGTAATATTTTTATGCCATATAAAAGATTTGGGTGTTATAAATGTAAAAAAGAAAAGTTTAGTTGCTAGATATGTAAGTAGATAAGAATTGAGTGGTATGCATGTAACTGCCCAAAAAATAAATAAATATAACCATGCCAAGCCTAAACTAGCCATACAATATACAACCTACTTGACCACAAGGCTGCGGGTAGCTTAAAAGTAGGCTTGTAAATGAGCCGAACACGAGCGAGCGCTTATATTTCGAGCTCAAAAAGTGTGTTCGTGTTCGGC